GGGGAAGGAACTTAGGTATCGTTTTTGTTAAATCGCATTATTTTAATTATATTCTTTTGCTATTTTTTTGGGCGTTAATAATCTAAAATTCTGTATTTTTATCATTGGGATCCACGAAGTAGCCCTAAGAATATGAATTATATATATGTGCTATTTAGTATATTTAATTTAATTTGTAATAAATGAATGAATTGGGTAATTATCAGTGTGATTTATAGAATATAAAATCAAACGTTTCAAGAGAGCAATTTCACATCAATGTGTATAATATCAAGGTTATATCCTTTTTGATTTATTGTCGATTTGCACTTGTTTATGCTATAAATTTATTATGCTGAAATAAATCATTTTGAAGAGTTATTTCAAAAGGTGTTATAGATCAACTAACTATCTCCCATTAAGAAAAGTAACTATCTCATTCTATCAAAAAATAATTTTCTCAGAAATATACCAATTAATATATTTTAATTTTCTTGGTTATTTTACCAAGATATGACGCAATTAATGGTAATTTAAATGATTATTTTATTCTTCTTTTATGATATTTTTTATTTTTATTTTCTATGAGCAAAATAAATAATTTATGAGACAAATAATTTTTCATTTTTTAAAAAATGGCCTTAAAAAACTATAAATCGAGAGCGCTCATTGTATTTAATATTTTGTTTAAAATTAAAATGATGTGTTTACCTTCACTTTTCATCTTAGTTCTCCATGGTTTATCAAAAAATATCTTTTAAATCAATCATGATTACCCCGAGTTATATGATAATACCGTGAAAAATTTAGCTCGAAAAGCATTATCGCGAGTGCATTACCGCAAATATCGATTACCGCAAATGTCGATTACCGAAAAAAAATTGGCAAAATTAATGCCGTGGATGCATCGTCGCGAATATATTACAGCTAACATATTATAGCGAATGTACTATCGCGAATGTATTCCCACGAAAGCTTTATCGTGAATGCATTAACACGAAAATAACATCATGAATGTATTATCACGAATGTATTACCTAGATTAAATTATTGCGAACGCATTTCTGCAATTACATTTCAGCGAAAACATTACCACAAATGTATTATCGCGAATATATTTTCTCGAGTGCATTATCGCAATTATATCGGACTTTAGACAGTGAAGATTTAAAAATAGTCCTGACGACGGGCTCGGGTGTGAAAATTTTTTTATAAAATTGGGCTTGGAAATTTTATTTATTTTTTACATTTAATTACATTTAAATTAATGGATATTCTGTGAAACATAATATAGTACTTGGACTTTCATATATAATGCATCCTGAAAATAGGCTTGAAGACTGGCTCGGGTTTATAAACAATTAATTTTTTATATTATCGTAAATTCTGGACTTTAATATAATTATAATTAGATACTGCAATGTAGGCCGGGCTTATCAAAAAAGGAGCTAATATTTTTATGTAAAATATAAATATTTTACTTTATCTGTAGAAACTAGGCGCCATATGACATATTTTTCATTTTGGGTATGATAAATTTAAAAAAAAATTTAAATTATTAAAATAAAAATAATTTCTTTTTAAATAAATTCAGGTCAGGCCTGCATTTTTTTAAAAATTTCGGACCGGGTTTAGCTTGGAAAATTATGCCCGATGTAGATTACTAATTAAAATATAAATAGATAAAATAAATAATAAAAATTCAATTAAACTGTGTTTGTAAGTAGCAGTAGAAAGTTTAGAGAATTTATTTGAAGAAAAAAGAGATCTAGCATAAAATAATTTTAAAGGGGAGGGGGCTTACTAAATGTTAAAATGGGAATAATTTATTTTGAAGTGAAATCGGTGGTTTTTCTTCGGTTTATATTTTTATACTTTACTTTGGTAGTTTGCTCTACGAAAAATATATTTATGTTTTACCATTATTTTTATTTTCCTTTATTCTTTCTATGTATATTAAAATTAACATATCAAATATAAAATAAAATAAAACATTATTTTATAAAAACGGAGGTGTGACTACAAGTTCCCAAAAATGAATAGTTATATTTTAAAATAGTTATTTGTAGGTTTTGTTTTAAAAAATAATATTCTTTTGGATCTGATGTAAGGGCTCTTAACTTATCGCCTATATTTTTTAAGAAATATAAAGTTCCGCTTGGCATATGTCCAAGGGCATAATCTCCCCGTTATTTAAATATGTATTAAATACTCCTTTAATTTGCTTGAGAATTTTAAAGACAAAAATACACGTTAGTTTAAGAATTTCCAAAAAAATGTACCCATTATCCACTTCATAATCTCTGAGGCACCACTAATCTTCGTTGAAAATTTCCGTACTAATCTCCGATCTACCTTTTGCACTTTGGTCATTTCCAATTTCCCTCCATCTTCTACATTAAGTAGCAACTCCTCTTCACAGTGCAGTGTCTTAGAATTCATCACCCTTCGATTTTCTTGATCCTGGCATACATCCCTTACCCCAGTCTTTCCCTCCTCCTCCCTTCTCATAATATCACGATATTCTTTAACAAGTTCAAAGTTCCCCGAGTAATTTTTATCTTTTTTTTTCTCTTGAATTATTTTCCCCTATTTTACTCTTTGAATTCTTTTCCCCTATCTCACTATTAGAAATATTTCCCCTTATTCGCTCTATGAATACTACCTCCTTATTTCAGAAACCTGGTCTCTACCCTGGACATCACATTCTCACTCTCAAATGTCATAACTGCGTATTCCTCACTAGTTATTGGTACAAATACACACCAGAAAGAAAAATACTCCCCAAAAACTATACATTGAACCAATTCTCGTAATCCAGTCCCACCCTAACACAGCTTCTATATTTTAAATCCATAAATCCAACCTCAGTCATCTCATCTAATGTAGCATCAATTTTCACTCTACCCATGGCTGCCAACTGTGTTCCATCGAATTGCTAATATCCAGGTGCGTAACCAATGGGGGGGAAAGGGGGAAATTCCCCCCCCATCGCAAATTTGATTATTTTCATAAATATCATTTTAAGCTAATAAAAATTTTACCCCCACCCCCCAGACCCCCCCCCCCACAAATCAAAATTTTACAAATATTTGAATATCAATTTTCCAACATATTATTCAAAAATATTAATAAAATGTAAAAATATTTAGTCAAAGAGATTGAAATCAAACGATAATTTATAAATAAGGCTGAGTATGAAAAAAAGTAATGTGTCGTTAGCAGCGATAGCATTATTGAATTCAATTGATCAATCAGAGTTTATCATTGCTGCTAGTTGCATCAATAAATTATTTTTAGCTCACTACTTTGTAAAAATTTACAAAAACCAAATTTAGATTTGGTTCAAGTTATTGATTTGGCGGAAAATATACATGAACAGGTAGATACAATAAGAATGAATGTAGATAAATATTTTCATAATATTTATCTAGACGTTGAATCAAAGGCTAAATTTTATGATATAATACTAATTAAACCTCGTCTAGCACCTAGGCCATTTTTGAGATGAAAATAAATATTGGCTCAACTGAAGAATATTCTAAAATATCCATTTTCATCCCATTCTTAGATACTTTTTTATAGCAAATAAAAGTACGGGTTTTAGATAAAAAACAAGTCTTTAGCAATCTTCAAGTTTTATTACCCAAAGATCCTTCTTCATTTTCTAATGCCACTATTGGTAAAATTAAATATTTAGAAAAATTTTATTCCTATGAGATTGATACTGAAATAAATTTAATCAGTGAATTCGAATTGTGGTATAAATATTTATACGTTTAGCTATTTTACCTGAGCATGCTATTGATGCGCTCAATCGGTGTAAAGAAACCTTGGCTCAATTTCCTAATATTTCGAAGTTGTTTTATATTCTTGCATGTTTGCCTATTACAACATGTACGAATGAAAGGACTTTTTCCAACTTGAGAAGGTTGAAAACATATTTACGAAGTACTGAATCTCGGCTAAATGGGTTAGCTCTGTTAAATATACACAGAGATTTGGTTCCAAAGACAAACGAAATAATTAAAAATCTTGTATTTGATAAGAAGTTAAAAAAAACTTATTAATTTAATTATTTTCTAGTCAATATTTTAAACTACTATTAGTATTTTCAATAAAAAAAAATTATATTCTACTTATATTGTATGAGAATTTAAGCTGAGGCTAGTTTTTAAAGCAAATTTTATAAAAAAAATGACATTACACTTTATTTCAACTTTACATATAAATAAATCTTTACATTTAAAAAAACTTTATTAAATATAATATACCTAACTTGAAATAATAAAAAAGAGGCTTGTAATATCCTATCCATAAGCACGAATTAGTAAATAATAGTTAAAAATAGAAATATAATTATTATTAAATTATTCATAATTTAATAGAATAGCTAAATATAACCCGGCTGAAGGCCGGGGAAAGCTGGCCGAAGGCCAGGTAAAAGGGGTTTGGGGGCGAAGCCCCCAAAAAATTTTTCCCCCCCTATAAGAAAATCCTAGATACGCCACTGCTAATATCTAAACTCTTCACTCTCAATCATTCTACCCTGCCAAATGCTCCGATTCCTATTGTATCTCTAAAGCTGTTCCCGTATCAAACAACATAGGAAACCTTCTCCCATTCAAATTTATCATCACTCTGGAACAAGGATCATGTATTCCTATCCCATAGCATATTTACGCATCCCTTTTTTTATTTTTTTCTTAGAGAACCCCTCTTTTCACTCTTAACCGTTTCGCCTCGACTCATATTGCAATTTTTTCGCCACCAAAAAATAATTATACAAATATTTGGAAGAAAAATAATTATCTTTATTTCATTTTTTTCTTCTCTTTTAATATATATTATCACAAATAAATATAAATGACATGACAACATAATCTCAATTGCTACAAAAAAATAAATAAACAAAATAATATGGATAAAAATAGTTATAGCGCTAATAAGAAAACAACATATTCAAAAAATTTGATTAAATAATTATTTCTTTATATACTATATATTTATAAAATCTCTCTTTTACCACAACTCTTCCTTTACAAAATTTCCTTGTCTTCCCACATCGCCAACTCGAGTTCTGAGTCAGATACGGCATACTCCAACCAATCTACAACTTCTTCCGTCAGATAGGTGGCCGACAACTCTTCTCCCGATCAATTATCAATTTCACTCATCCCTCTTGACCCAATCCAGCGGGTGTGGGGTCATCCCATATTCCTCTTTCCACTTATGGGTCCCCCTTATCTATTCCACCCGACTTCCCGGGTATCCATGCCACCTCTTGGGATCTCGCCTGGAGACTCGTGTTCTCCAGTCATTCCACCAATGTCTGACGTTGATGCTTTAGGCCTTTCTGCTTTCTCGGCTATTTACTCGCTGGCGCATGGTTTCCTGTCATTCTCCGAACGCCCGACATCGATTCTCTAGGTCCCTCATCATTTGTCCTCTTTTGGGGACATCGGCTTATAACGTGACACTCACCCGCAATGGTAGCACCGACCGGGTTCTACCTGGTGCTGGGGAATTCTTCTAGTTTGCATTCCTGGCCGTCCACAACGATCCGGTGTCTGCCTTGGTCTAATGATAAAATGTATCTCGAAATATTCGAATATCCAGCTGCGACTCATATCCAACCTAAATTTGAGCCTTAATAATATATAACTTTTATATATTTACCTTAACTCCCCTTTCAATTCTGACTTATACAATACGATTTATATGCGAAATAATCTATTCTTTTACAATTCAAGCTTCACCATAATATTCTAATTTACAATTTTCTTTAATTTATATTATTCTAATTTACAATTCAGCCCCTCTCATTCTTATAAATTACTTCCCTACTACTCTCTTTTACCTTTTTCTTTTTCTCTTTTTTTACACATAATTTATATCCTAATTAAATTTCAAATCCTTATAACATAACTCATAAGTAATGATCAAAAAAAATATTTTCTTTACCTTTTCATATCTTTATATTAGAATATATTAGAACATTATTTCACAGCAATCCATTTTTTTCTTCTTTTTTTGAGGAATTAGTTAATCAAGGAATTCGTTTACCCGGTCAGATCTTTAAGTTAAGGAATTGGTTAAGCGTCGCATTAGGAAATTATCTTTAGGGGTTGTGAATAACGTATTAAATAGTTAAATACCGTGAAAAACGGTTAGGGTTAGGGTAAAAAAGTATAAAAGAGACATGGAAAATAATTTTTTTAGAAAATTAAGTTGGTATAAAAAAAGAAGAAAAAGGGATAGATATGAAAAACTTTTAATATATTCTAATATAAAGACATGAAAAGGTAAAGAAAATATTATTTTTGATAATTACTCATGAGTTAGGTTATAAGGGTTTGAAATTTAATTAGGATATAAATTACGTGGTAAAAAAAAGAAAAGAGAAAAAATAGAGTAGGAGTACATAAGTAAGTTATAAAAGCGAGAGGGGCTGAATTGTAAGAATAATATATATTAAAGAAAATTGTAAATTATAATAGTATGGTTAAGTCTGAATTGTAAATTAGAATCTAATTTCGAATATAAATATTATAAGTCAAAATTGAAAGGGGTATTAAGGTAAATATATAAAAGTTACATATTATTAAACCTCAAATTTAGGTTGCATATAAGTTCAGCTGGATATTTGAAGATTTAGAGATATAATATATCATAAAACAAAGACAGACACTGGTGGAGGCGGCCAGGAATGCAAACACGTTGAACCCAGTCGGTGCTATAATTGCGGGAAAGAGAAACACGTTATAAGCCGATGTCCCCAAAGGAGGGGAAATAATGAGGGACCATTAGCATCAATTTCGGGCGTTCGGGGAATGACAGGAAATTATGCGTCAGAGAGTGAAATAGCCGAGAAGGCCGAAAGGCTGAAAGCATCACAGTCAGGCTTTCGTGGAATGACTGGAGAACACGAGTCCTCAGGCGAGATCCGAAGAGGTGGCATGGACGTCCATGGCATCTCAAAGCCGTGACGGATACTGAAGATAATTGGTCGGGAGAAGAGTTGTCGGTCACCTATCTGACGGAAGAAGTTATAGATTGGTTGGAGTATACCGTATCTGACTCGGAACTCGAATTTGTGCTGGGAGAGGACAAGAGATTTTTGTAAAGAATTATATAATCAAATTTTTTTTAATATGTGGTTTTCTTATTAGCGCTATAACTATTTTTATCAATATTATTTTATTTTTTTTGTCGCAATTGAGATTATGTCGTCATGTTATTACTATTAATCAATCTATGTTTTATGTAGTAATAGAATAAAAAGAGAAAAAAACGATTTTTTTTCTTCCATATATTTTTATTGTGAGTATTTGTAAAATTGTTTTTGATTTGCGCCAATTAGTAAAAAAAAGAATATAGGAAAATAAAAATAAATGTAAAATATTAATATATTTTTCGTAGAACAAATTACCAGAGTGAATAAATGAATATAAACCGAAGAAAAACCACCGATTACATTTCAAAATAAATTATCCCCATTTTAACTAGTGTACGATTTATAAACTTGATTTACAATATTATTTTATAAATTTCATATTGAATAAATTTTATTAGTAAGAATCTTTTCTCTTCCTTAATATTACTAAGCTATAATTTCCAATTATTACATATATAATATTCTTATATTGCCAAGATAACACCCATGATTATTGATTAAAGCCTATCTATAATCTGAACCTTATCATCCTAGGCACTTTTTAGTGTGATAAAATACAGACTAAAAATATAAAATACAGACTATAAATAGGCGGCATCGGTTTTTAGATATTATACCTAATTAAATTTTTTAAAAAACAAAACATACAGATTTACAATTTTAAAAAAAAATTTTGACTTACACGGATTTGAATCCACATTTTTAGGGTAGGTAATATAGACGAATCCCGGAAAAAAACCCCGGAAAATAAACCCCCGGTAAAAAAACCAGGAAAATTAACCCCCCGGAAAATAAACCCCCAGGAAAAAAACCCCCGAAAAATAAACCCCCAGGAAAAAAAAACCCCCGGAAAAAAATTCCCCAAGATCTTTTTTTCATTTTTATAGAATTTACTTAACACCTAATAATATAAGTATATTTTTATTTGGCCTACTCTCCATAAAAAAATGCTTAAATAAGAAAAACTGATGTTTAAATTGGTACTGGGAAAAAATGACTCAGTAAAATAACTATGTATTGTAAAAAAAATTTGCTACAGTAAAAATACAATACCATCTTTAAATATGATATTAAATAGACTAAATTTGATAAAACTTAGAAATAAGAAATGTTTATTTTATTGGTAAATCATGATTATGTATATACAAATTTTATAATTTATAATAATAATTATATAAGTTGACATCGAATATTGAATGTAATCGCTCTTATAAAATCTGGAAGGCTTCGAACCCTATCACGGTATTCTTCGCAAAGTTTCTTTAGCCGAATCTGTTTGTTAGAACTCTGCGATTTTGTTTTCGATGTCCAACTACCTAAGCGCCATCTTTCAAGTTTGGTTTCATCGGCAGCCACCTCGCACATTCTTTTAATGAGTACCCAGATTGATGGGTGTTTATTCCCAACCAGATTAGAAAAACGATGATTCCAACTTTCGCATTGATTATTTGTTCGTTTTTCATCTGAGAGAGTGCTCTGATTAACGTTCCAGGTTTCTGGAGGAAATCGAGGCTCAATTCGACGTGTTTGGGATTGAGAATTGCTTCTTATGACCTCCCTTGATACTCCATTGACATAATTTTTATCGAAATAATCAAGAATATCCTTACCATTGCTCGGAGTAACAGATCTCAGGAATGTCATTGCATTGCCCATATCACATAACGGAACGAATGCTAAGCCGTCCATCATGCCACAAAAAAAACTTAGAGTTTCATCGGTCCTGTATTCGCTTTCCAGACCCAGCTTCTGAATTTTTAACATAATGATCATAATACATTTTAATATCTGTTCATTTAACTAGTTGCTGAACAATAATATTTTTAACAAATTATTAACTTGTAATTGTCTAAATACCAATTATAGCGTTTTTAATTTATAAACATTTTTTATTCTTTTGAAAAATACATTTTAGAACTTAATGATCATAATACATTTTAATATCTGTTCATTTAACTAGTTGCTGAACAATCAATTGTCTAAATACCAATTCAATATAAATTATTGCTAGATTATACTTAAATATGAGAGTGTATAAAAATAATCTCAAGGGTTTTTTTTACTGGGGGTTTTATTTCCTGGGGGTTTTTTCCGGGGGTTTTATTTCCTGGGGGTTGTTTTTCCGGGGGTTTTATTTCCTGGGGGTTTTTTTCGGGGGTTTTATTTACTGGGGGTTTTTTCCTGGGGGTTTTTTCCTGGGGGTTTATTTTTCGGGGATTTTTTTTCCTGGGGGTTTTTTTTCCTGGGGGTTTATTTTCCGGGGGGTTTATTTTCCGGGGGTTTTTATGGGAGTTTATTTTCCGGGGTTTTTTTCAGGGATTTTTTTTCCTATTACCAATATAGACTATTACAAGCATTTTGTATATAATTTATTCGATTATTTGATTATAATATGAAACTAAATTTATATATATATATATAAAGAGAAATTTTATTATATCCTTAACTTTAATGATGTTTTTTTATTTTAAATCTCTCATTATTCGATTTAATAATCTTAAAAAAATAAAGATGAGCTCTTGAAATGAAACAAAATATTTCTTGAAAGCATTATTAAAATATTAATCTAAGACATAAATTAATATTATTAAACAGTTAGGTTTTATATTATTAATGTCTCGATATTATAAGTTATTTAACATTTTATGAAAATTTTTACAGATTTATCGCTTTAAAAACATTGGGGGCCATTTAAATCAACACAACCCATCCGTGGGATTTTGATGGCGTGAGATTTCTAAATCTCATAGATCTCTTTCACACGTTACATCGGCACTCCTTAGTAACAAAACTATAGTTTTGAATAAAAATATAAATATATTAATTGATTAACTTCTTAGTATAAAATAAAAAAAATGTACGTAGCAAATTATAGCTTTATATTAATTATATCCATTATTTATCAAATGTAAATAAACTTATAAATAAATCCCTTTTGCCTTCGCGGTGATATTTACGCGATTTTGCATTCGCTATAATGTATTCGAGGTAATACACTCGCTATAATACTGTCATAGTAATATTTTCGATTTAATGATTCGGGAAAATTTTTTTACTGTAATATATACGTGTACATTCGCTAGAATTCATCGCGATATTTCCCAATATGTTCACTCTAATGCAATCGCGGTTATTTTCACGCGATATGGCACAAATACACTCCAGCAAGACTCCCACTATACAATGAACCAATTCTCGTAATCCAGTCTCACCCTAACACAGCTTCTATATTTCAATTTAAATCCATAAATCCAACCTCAGTCATCTCATTCAATGTAGCATCAATTTTCACTCTACCCATGGCTGCCAACTGTGTTCCATCGAATTGCTAATATCTAAACTCCTCACTCTCAATCATTCTACCCTGCCAAATGCTCTGACACCTATTGTATCCCTAAAGCTGTTCCCGTATCAAACAACATAAGAATTCTTCTCCATTTCAAATCACTCTGGAACAAGGATCATGTACTACCCCCTTCCATAGCATATTTACGCATCCCTTTTTTTCTTTTTTTCTTAGAGAACCCCTCTTTTTCACTCTTAACAGCTTCGCCTCGACTCATATTGCAATTTTTTCGCCACCAAAAAACAATTATACAAATATTTGGAAGAAAAATAATTATCTTTATTTCATTTTTTTCTTCTCTTTTAATATATATTATCACAAATAAATATAAATGACATGACAACATAATCTCAATTGCGACAAAAAAATAAATAAACAAAATAATATGGATAAAAATAGTTATAGCGCTAATAAGAAAACAACACATTGAAAAAATTTGATTAAATAATTATTTCTTTATATACTATATATTTATAAAATCTCTCTTTCACCACAACTCTTCCTTTACAAAAATCCCTTGTCCACCCACAGCGCCAACTCGAGTTCTGAGTCAGATACGGCATACTCCAACCAATCTACAACTTCTTCCGTTAGATAGGTGGCCGACAACTCTTTTCCCGATCAATTATCAATTTCACTCATCCCTCTTGATCCAATCTTGCGGGTGTGGGGTCATCCCATATTCCTCTCTCCAATTATGGGTCCCCTTTGGCTACTCCACCCGACTCTTGTTCCTCCCGGGTATCCATGCCACCTCTTCGGATCTCGCCTGGGGACTCGTGTTCTCCAGTCATTCTACGAAAGTCTGACGTTGATGCTTTAGGCCTTTCTGCTTTCTCGGCTATTTACTCGCTGACGCATGGTTTCCTGTCATTCTCCGAATGCCCGACATCGATGCTCTAGGTCCCTCATCATTTTCCCTCTTTTGGGGACATCGGCTTATAACGTGCCCCTCTTTCCCGCAATGGTAGCACCGACGGTGTTCTATCTGGGGCTGGGGCATTCTTCTAGTTTGCATTCCTGGCCGCCCACAACGATCCGGTGTCTGCCTTGGTCTTATGATAAAATGTATCTCGAAATATTCGTATATCCAGCTGCGACTCATATCCAACCTAAATTTGAGCCTTAATAATATATAACTTTTATATATTTACCTTAACTCCCCTTTCAATTCTGACTTATACAATACGATTTATATGCGAAATAATCTATTCTTTTACAATTCAAGCTTCACCATAATATTCTAATTTACAATTTTCTTTAATTTATATTATTCTAATTTACAATTCAGCCCCTCTCACTCTTATAAATTACTTCCCTACTACTCTCTTTTACCTTTTTCTTTTTCTCATTTTTTACACATAATTTATATCCTAATTAAATTTCAAATCCTTATAACATAACTCATAAGTAATGATCAAAAAAAATATTTTCTTTACCTTTTCATATCTTTATATTAGAATATATTAGAACATTATTTCACAGCAATCCATTTTTTTCTTCTTTGAAGAATTAGTTAATCAAGGAATTCGTTTACCCGTGTGTCAGATCTTTAAGTTAAGGAATTGGCTAAGCGTCGCATTAGGAAATTATCTTTAGG